CCAGCGCAACACCTTCGTCAAACATGTTGCCACTTGTTTGTACCATTTTCAGGTGATTTGTAATCTGTTCTAGAAAAACTATGTGTTTTTTAGATTTTCAAGAAGCTTAAACAAACAATGGATGTATTTCATGAACATTTATCCATGCTGAAAGTAGATTTAGATGTTTTAGGAGTGAGATAGAGATTATTATCTAATATATGCATCCAATGAAGCATTGCATGAAGTCTGTTGATGATCAGAGGCTGTGGTTGGGGCTGCATAAACGTTTTTTTATTTTTGTTTTGTAGGCAGACCATGCAGGCCTCAGAGTTAAACTTGGACCTGCGACCATAGTTTTACTGTATTTTATTTTGAAAACAGCGGAGGTTTGTGTCGTACTACATGCGGTGTGTTTTGCATATCTCTCAGTAGTCTGTTGTCTCGGACATAAACTCCGTAATAAATGTAGTCTACATTTCATAAGAGGTGTAAAACCTGCGAGCATTTTAAATCGCATTTGAACAAAATGCTTATGATCTGTAGTTGTATTTGTATTGTTGATTTATTGTGTGACAAGGCGATACAGAGAAGGTTAAGCTGTCATTATTAGGCTGTTATGTACTGTTGGAGTGGTAAGCAGGCCTATTGTTTTTGGATATTTGTGGAGTTAGGTGGTCCGTGAGTGTTTTTTTATTGGTTAAGTGTCCTTGGTATGAAAAAGTTTGAGAAACACTGCGCTAGTGGATTATCAACGGGTGGAGCCTCGCTGCGGGGAAATTATACAGATGGCTAGTCCGCCCCTGAAAAATGTCTATGCACACGACGTTATTAATAATTATTATTATTTTTTATTTACAATTTTTATTTTGTAATCATCTCGCGACCCCCACTTTGGGAACCCCTGGTATAGAGGATATTTAAATACAGTCAATAGTTGCAATAGTTTGCCATCCTGGCTCCAAAATTGTGAAACAAGCTCACTATCCATATCAGTTAGCATTTCATGAGTTTAGCCCGTTTGAACTAATGCACCAGCACGATTGTTTTGCTTATTTGAAGCAAACGCATCTGCATTTTTCTAAGTTTGTATCTTTATCTTTTCTAAGTTTGTATCAGTAGGTGTATTTCACCTACTGTATGTAGTTTTCGATGAAAGCATCAACCAAATGAATTGATAACTTCACTAAAGGACGTTTAGGTGTGCATGTGGTGTGTGCCTGAATAATAAAACGTCTTGTTCCTGTTTCAGATGGTACAGAGTGGAGACGAACTTTGACCACTGGCTTCCTCCTCCAGCCAGGGATCATCGGAGGTGAGTCATCTCACATGATTCACAATATTGTTGCTGTAACCGTGTCTAATCTGCTGTTGTCATTTTTGTAGGGACGCAGCCAACAAAGCACTAAATGAAACTGGCCAAGATCACATCAACATGGAGACACTTTATCAGGCAAGCATGGATAATTAATAAATATTTGAGGCTGAAGTACACAAGATACTGACAGATTGAACCCAATGTATGGATTTCTAACAGAGTCTTGTCCTCCAGGTGCTGTCGCTGTATCCTGTGTGTAATGGGTAAGGAGATCACTGTCTGTTCCGTCTCACTGGCCGTTTCTCAATCGCGAGGATGCTGGCTTGGTAGCACAGCCGAGCCGAGCATCTTGCTTCAGATGCAAGGCAAGAATACTTCCTGGCATTCGGAAAACAAAGAGTGGAACAGGCTAGCAAGTGTGCAGGTGTGCGTCATATGAGAGGCCCCGCCTTACATCTTCCACAGATTTGGGGAAATTGGTCCATGCGCTAAGCATTGTGGGGATTTTAAGGACGCGAAGTCTACCCATGTGCAGCCTCGAAATTTCCCCCAAACCAAGGACGCGGCCTCGGTGGCATTCCAAGTATGCTGGAGATTGGAACAGTCCTTCGGCGGCACTCGATGACGTAGCATCCTTGAAATATTGGTTTGGAAGCCAATATCCTCGCGATTGAGAAACGGCCTCCGTCTCAAGGAATCACATGACTGCTGCTGAGATGGCCAGCTGTGTGCATACCAGCGCCCTTCAGCCTATCTCAGCAATAATGTCAATAGGCCTTTGTTTGACATTCTTCAGCAAATAGGAAGTAGCATATGGAACAGCAATAGTTACATTTTAAATGGAAAGATTGAAGGTTAAAGAAGGATTGCACTATTTACAGTACCGTAATGCAATCCATAATTTGTTTGCAACAGTAAAAAGATCAGTATCACAAAAAAAGGTACTTTATTATGTAACGATTATCCTTTTTTTTATTGGTAGATAAAGATTTGATTTGTTCAAATTGTTATCGTCATTATTGTGATTATTTTTCACTTGTTGCTGTTATTTAGCAGCATTTTTAAGCAGGGCAAACGCAGAATGGCGTACACTATTCTCTTACGGAAAGTAATGTTTTCGCTTTTCATGAATAGGAATGACATATTTTCCGAATATTGTGCAGCCCTCATTTTGATTACATATGTTATTATTTATAGTTTTATTTTTAAAGAATCGTTCACACAGCTTGTTTTTACATTTTCTTGCATTGTGTTTGATTGTGTTGTCAACTATTTTTAAATCCCCAGAATGGAAAACCTTTTTTACTATTTTTTTTAATTCAAAAAGCAATTTGTTGCAATTTAGAAGTATATTGAATGTTTAAGCACTTTTAAAAGAAGTTCATTTATTAATAGTAATATTGTTATCTCTGTTTATTATTAACAGTTTTCTGCAGATCTTCCTCATATCGTGCAACCCTTAGTTTGATTACATACATTATTATTTATGGTTTCATTTCTGAATGATCTTTTACACAGTTTGTTTTTATAATTCATGCACTGTGTTTGATTGTACCCCCAGAATTACTGTCTACACGACTATAATGAGTGCAGCAGCCCCCGAGAAGTACAATACACTCGTCAGACCACAGGTAATTACATGTGTTACTTATTAAATGCATATTTGTTTGTATAATATATCATAATAATAATAATAAGCAATGAACGGGTGATATGTCACTCGTAATTACTCTTTCTCACTCATGTGATCCCTCGCTCTCTTTCAAGGGCTGCCCCCCCACCTGACTGTGAGCCTCGCTGTCTAAACTCCACATCATGGTTACATGCAGATTAAATCAAAAAGAATGATCATGTGATTTTAAATTCAATGAGAAGGGAATCAAGCACTTGCAGGGTGATAATGCTTTTTTAACGCTGCCTAATAAAAGAACAAATGTGAAAGAACGTCATGTTGCTGCGATTTATATGTCAAGTTTAAGAACACTTTGGTCACTTTAATGATTGTGATCACTTGAAAATGAGATTTTATCTCAATGTTTTTATCTGGTTAAATAAAAAAATAAAAAATAAAAACTTGAAGATAGCCACAGTGACACTTTGCTCATACAGCACGAGTTAAATAAACAACGATGGAAAAGCACTTGTACCTGGACCGTGGTGCTTTCCAGTTCCATGATAACTGTGCCTCTTTTGATTTGTGCCTTTCAAATAAACCACGTATAGCCTTGTGTGAGTTTTTCTTGGTCCATCATGGTTCACATTTGTCTCTTTGTTTAAATCGTTCAGATCATACAATGATTTGCGTGTTGAGGGAACTTTGGGATTTCAGCCTTTGCAGACCAATTACATAAAAACACAACACACTACAGGAAAGAGAAACCCCCCAAAAGCCTATTAGGGCCTCTTAGTCTTATAGGCTTATCGTTTAGACTTTTGTGTAGTGTTTGGCTCAGGATAAAAATTACTGGTTTAAAATAAATTCAACTGTGCAAATCATAAAAAGGTAAACAAAAGAGGATCAACAGGTGCATTATTTTGCCCTTGAGTAATCCCTTATTGAGTTTGAGTTGTGGAAAAGATACATTGATAATATTCTTGTCATATTTGGAGGAAATATAGAAGAGGCAACTGACCTTTCTTTTCTTTCAGTTATGATAACTTTTGTTTTGTTATATTGGACAAAAGCATTGTAAAGATGCCTCCTTGGACTCCAAACAATTCTCACTGTACATTTTTTACAAAACAAATACATTTCCCGGATTATACAAAGGCATACATTAGCCTACAAGCTTTAATGCAGGACCATTATCCGTAAGCGTGTTTAGAGTAGGGTATTAGTAATTTTACGAATATAAATAATCTCAATACTTTCTCCAGCTCTGATTGGATGGTACTTGACATTGGCAACTCCCACCTTTGGATCCATTATCCAATAGATTTTAAATCATGCTCAACCAATTATCCAATAAAAACTGATCACCTGTTCTATGTTGCCTATATGTGGTTGCATTTTGTCTTTAGAGATGAAGACACATCAGTGTTGAAACGTTAGTCTGTTTTAAGTTGAATGTTTGCTGATATTAAATGAGGAACTTGAAGATGTGCGGAAAATCCTGAATTATCCAACAGAGAAGGTCAGTGACGGTCTAAAAACACACACTTGTCCTCACAAAGGTTAAGTTATTGTCAGTGTGTAATTTAGTGAAGTACATTTACTCAAGTACTGTACTTTAGTTCAATTTGGGAGTACTTAAGTATTTCCATTTTACGGTAATTGATGCTTTTACTCAACTGCATTTTGGAATATTGTAATTTTTACTCTACTACATTTGTTAGACAACATTGGTGACTAGTTACTTTACATATTTAGATTATTAGCTAATACAAAACATAAAGTAATAAATAAACGAATTATAAGTTAAAAAAATCCAGCACTACTTTTACCAGCGGTGTTAACGACATGTAGCCTATGCTTCAATAGTAATAATCAGGTAATTACAAATACCAGAATCTCAAATGGACTTTTACTTTTGGTAATAATATACTTTTGTACTTTTACTGTAAAATGTTGAATGCATGACTTTTATTTGTAACAGAGTCATTTTATACTGTAGTATTTCTACTTTTATTATCGGAGTACTTCTTCCAACACTGGTTTGTCTGGTTTGTCTACAAAATAGTTCCGCTTTCATTGCGCGCTCCCGTGAGCTCCGTGCACTCCTCAGCAACACTTGGATCACATGACATGACAAAGCAGCAGCAGCTACTTCCTGTGTGCACTGCTAGCCAATTTCACATCCAGACGGTCACTGCGACTAATAACGTGAGAAACCAACATGCTGGCTATGATAAACAGGCTCCTGGACTGGTTCCGCGCGATCTTCTGGAAAGAGGAGATGGAGCTCACGCTCGTGGGACTTCAGTACTCCGGGAAAACTACCTTCGTCAACGTGATAGCGGTAAGACTGTCGGTGTGGGCCCAGACTAGCACCTTACCTGGGAGAAGTTGTCTTTAAATGTGTTAAAATGTTCAAAAAGTGCATGACTGCATTACTAAGTAGTGTTTGTGTCTTGAACATATAATTATCATATGGTTATGGTTTGGCTTAATAGTTGTTTTGGTTAGAGTGACGGAGTTGTTGGTATGACTGCGCATACAAGTATGAAGCGGTCATGTGATCGAGGTGCTGTGTAATAGCCGCCGGTGTGTCAACATCAGTGATATGACAACAGGCAACCAGTTAACATGGAAACAGACTGGTCTAGAAATCTTATGTTAGGTAGGGTTAATTAAAGTGGATGAGGTCTGGAGACATAACACCAGCATGTGGCAAGCTATCTATATCATTATAGATTTAGGTAAATGGCTAGCTGTGGTGAAAAGTAACTAAGTCAATTTTTACTCAAGTACTGAACTTGGGTACAATTTTGAGGTTCTTGTAATGTACTTGAGTATTTCAATGTTTTGCTACTTGTACCCCACTACAATTCAGAGGTAAATTGTGTACTTTTTTACTCCACTACATTTATTTAATATCTTTAGTTACTTTTCAGATTTGGATTAATAATGTGAAATATAATCAACCCTTAAATCAGACTTTAGCTCCACCTGGAGTAAATTCACAAGCTACCCTGCACGTATACAAAGTCATTCAAACTAGCTGCACCTTTACCAGCTGTGAGAACACTTGAATGCATCATATTTCACATTATTAATCTGAATCTGCAAAGTAAATAAAGGAATTAAATGCATGTAGCGGAGTAAAATACTCGATTTACCTCTGAGTTGTAGTGGGGAAGAAGTACAAAGTAGCAAAACCTAGAAATACTCAAGTAAAGTCTCTCAAAATAGTACTTAAGTATAGTACTTGAGTAAATGTACTTAGTTACTACTACACCACTGGTAAATAGCTAGATTTGCGTGGAATATGCTATTGAATGCTAAGCCTAAAGAACCTGTTTATACCTCCTCCCTTTTAAAATATTCCTCTGTTGTTGAGTCCACCAACTGGCACATGTCATAGCTAGCACTGTGAGACTTGTTGATACTTAAATACTTGTTTAGCTATGGGTGGTTTTGGGGTAAACGTTGTGTTTTTGTTCTGTTTCTTGGTGATAGAGCACACTGTATTATTGGAAAGTCATGTTGTAGGCCTCAGTGCTGTAATAGGCTCCCTTTTCCTGGATTCCTCTCAAGAATACAAACTTGTTCCGTGCCCTTTTGTGGTCATGTCAGGTGATCTGAGATCAGCTTTAAACAAAGCTGCCTTCTACTTTACTTTTAAGACTGTTGGACTAGGCCCAGACTCGATGTCAGCCATGCAAACAAGGCTATAGAAGTCATCTGGAATATTTTGAATTTCTATATGTATCAGACTTGGAGTTGGGTTTTAGGATAATGCTAGTGTCTGGCATTTAACAACAAAGCACTGGATGGTTACAGGCAGCTTGTATGTTGTCAAAATGCCATCATCTTATCATGAGTCATGGAGTTCAGGACCAAGTGTTGAAATATCAAGCAGCTAAAAATGACCCGTGTAATCAAATCATTTCCTGTTAAAGGATTCGCTAGGCTTTTCATGTGACTCTCTTAAGCTTAAAGCATACTGGCATGTGTTTTTATTTGTTGATGCAGAGATGGTTGAACTTAAAAAGGACTAAGACTGAAAAGAGACTAATTTGGTGCACATGAATGCTTCTAAAACCATTTCAACACTAATTATTTCAGTTGCGAGTTGCAGTATTCACTAACCTGAACTTTCTCATTCTTTCTTTTTCTGCAGTCAGGGCAGTTCAGCGAAGACATGATTCCCACAGTCGGTTTCAACATGCGGAAGGTCACTAAAGGCAATGTGACGATAAAGGTAGGCTAACGAGCACACATGTCCAGCTGAATTACTTCACTTTTAAACTGAATTTCTATGTTCCACAGTGTAGAGCTCTATGCTTTGCACCCTGGAACATTATGACTGGTTCATATATGAAACAAATGTTGCAGAGGCCTTGGTCTTCTGACTGTGTGTGTTGTTTTCCCCCCCGCAGATATGGGACATAGGGGGCCAGCCTCGCTTCAGAAGCATGTGGGAGCGCTACTGTAGAGGAGTCAATGCTATTGTGTAAGTTTGTGGACACTACAAAGTACAGCAGGTGGCCTTTGGGACCGCACGTATTCTGTTTGGCTTCCTGAACTTACTGGTATTCTGAAAAACTGAACTGAAATGGTACATCCAATGAGAAACAATTCTTATTTGCATATGGTAATATTTGGCTTGGTCTCTCTCCATATGATAGTGGTGCTGGAATGAGTATTTCTGCACTTCCTGGTTCCCTCGTCTCAATGTTTTTGAACGAGTTTTTGGTTTGATACCTGGACTAAGGTCTGTGGTTAACACAAGCTAAGGAGATTTCATTTTTTTTTAGACATAAAAATGTTACTAAACACCCCACTGGGTAACTTCTGAAGCTTATACGTGTCTTCAAAACAGCGGTTGCTTGCATGTGGCTATAAGAGACTACTTTACATCAAATTAGCCGCCATTAGCTTAGCGGTGTTAATGCAAAGTCATGTTGCATTCAAGCTTGGACTATTATAAAAGTGGTGTTAATACATGAAGATTATCCTGCTGCACAAAACCTGTTAACTATCTTGAATGTATGTCAATCAATAGGATACGGCTGTGTGTCGTCACAGATCTTAGTTTACACAATATTTCAAAATCATTGCCTTTTATTTGTGGGAGCCCATGTAATGCTAACTTCAAGGTCTATACAAATACGTCATATCTGCACCACTCTATTGTGTACAACTAAATGTTGTAAGAATTTAAATGTTTTATTTAGTGAATCAGCTATTTTAGTTTTGACCAAACTCTCTTTAAGTAGTTTCTTTCCCTCTTGCAGTTACATGGTGGACGCAGCAGACCGAGAGAAGGTAGAAGCTTCCAGAAACGAACTGCACAACCTTTTAGAGAAACCACAGCTACAAGGAATTCCTGTAAGTGGACAGTTGTCGTGACCTTACAGATTCTTCTTGATTTCAGAGGGTCCAGTAACTCAGGAATCAAACCCCTAATTGGTAATGATGCAATACATGGATTGTAGTGACTCAGCCCTAATGACACACTAAGTGGTCATTTGCGCACAGTGAGGATTCTGTGATTGGTGAAACACATGGTGGAAAGAAAACCTTTAAACTGTCTGCTCACACTGAGATAATGCTGATGCATAGCTGTGCTGGATATTGATCTGCCCTTTCTCTCGTTCTCTTCCTCTTTCAGATTCTAGTACTGGGCAACAAACGAGACCTGCCGAACGCACTTGATGAGAAGCAGCTCATTGAAAAAATGTGAGTCACTCAAGACTAATGCGTTCTGTGGATAATCCTACACAAACGTCAAGGCGAAAACCATTGCAATACAAATCTGTGTCAGAAGGATTATTGGGACCACTAAATATAGATAGTCCTCCTACAAATATCTTAAGAGTATTTCAAACATTGCAACAGCTTATTAATCCAGATTTTAAAACGTAGGTTCAAAATACAACTCATTTATTTTAAGAACATAGTAAGGTAGGGATGTTAATAGTCAATACCGATTCCAGTGACGGTCAACAACGTTTGATACCGATTTGTACCATGGAGACGATTCACTCCTTGATCACTGTTAGGATGCTGTTTTTTGTAAGATCATTTAAACGGGCTGCACATACAGAAACCTCCCCGTGGTGCAGCCTGGGAAACGCTGGTTGAATGAGATATACATCCGAGAGGATATAATCTGATACTGCCTGTAGGCCAATCTCTGTATACTTGCCTACGCAATCAAATGATGAAGATGCCTGCCGGATCTCGACAGCGTCACAGATACCTGCCCCTCTCTGGACCCGCACTGTCAATCGTCTCAATCAACATCGAAGGTTTCTCCGGATGCAAGGCAGAGATACTGGCAACGATGGCCAATCGCTTTGACATACTCTGCATGCAGGAAACCCACATCGGCCCTGCACAACACCGACCTACCATCCCTGGAATGAAACTGGTCGCTGAGACCCGACACAGACAGTATGGATCAGCTGTTTTCAGCAGACCAAACCTCAAGATTGAGGAAGTCTGGACCCACACTACGGAAGGAAACATGGAAACCATCACAGTTGCCCCCCCAAATGTCTCTGTCACATCAGTCTACAAACCACCCGCAACCCCTTTTCTGTACACAGAACTACCAGAAAGATGCAAGAGGAGATTCCATATCAGCATCGGCGACTTCAATGCCCACAGTACATCATGGGGCTATGAGAACAACAACCAAGATGGAGATGAAGTTGAGACCTGGCTTGAGTCCAAGCACCTGACCCTAATCCATAACGCTAAACTACCCAAATCCTTTCACAGCGCCAGATGGAAACGAGGATACAACCCAGACCTCGCATGCGTAAGCAGTGACATTGCATCCAGAACTGAGAAGGAAGTCCTGGAACCTATCCCCCATACCGGCACCGGCCAATTGCCATCACCGTTAGATCCGCTCTCCAAGCAACCACCCTCCCATTCCGCAGGAGGTTCAACCTACGGAAAGCCGACTGGTTGTCATTCCAACAGGAGATGGAGCATTCCATATCTAACATACCACCATTTCCCAATAACTACTCCAACTTCACAGACTTATTAAAAAGGTCAGCCAGACATCACATACCCAGGGGATGCCAGACACAGTATATTCCTGGGCTATCAGAAACATCCAGCGACCTGCTGAAAGCCTACTATGAGGAATATAATAAGGACCCTTTCTCCTCTACCACCATGGAACTTGGAGAGACCCTGATCAGTGAAGTTGGAGAGAACGAAGGAAAATCTGGAAGGAAATTATAGAGAACACCAATATGACAAATAACAGCAGGAAGGCATGGGCTACAATCCGCCGTCTTGGCGAAGACCACACCACACCACCCATAATCACAACGGTCACAGCAAACTCGGTTGCATCACAGCTGGTGGCCAACGGCCGTAACCAACACCGCCGCCAACCCACAGGAGAACACCATCGCACAGTGGTATCAGACCAACCACAACCAGCCAGCCCTCTCACCAAACCCTTCGACATAGAAGAACTCGAAACTGCAATGGGTAAGCTGAAACCCGTAAAAGCAGCACGGATTGATGACATACTGGCAGAGATGATACAGCACCTGGGACCTAACGGAAAGACCTGGCTCCTGGAGATGCTGAACACATGCATGGCACAAAAAACCATCCCTCCTGTCTGGAGAAAGGCCAAAGTGGTTGCAATCCCCAAACCCGGCAAAGACCCATCATCCCCAAAGAGCTACTGACCCATTTCCCTCCTCTGCATCACTTACAAACTCTACGAGAGGCTGCTACTCCAACGCCTCATGCCACTCATAGACACCAAGCTGACTAAAGACCAAGCTGGTTTCCGTCCTGGCCGCTCCTGTGCTGGACAGCTACTCAACCTCACCCAACACATTGAGGATGGGTTTGAAGGAAAACAAATAACTGGAGCAGCATTCATAGATCTTTCTGCTGCCTATGACACAGTCCAACACCGTACAATGGTCAGGAAACTACTGGACATGACTGGTGACCTGAATCTGTGTCAAGTCATAAAAAGCCTCCTCAACAACAGGCGCTTCTACGTCCAGTTAAATGACCAGAGGAGCAAGTGGAAAGCCCAAAAGAACGGCCTCCCACAAGGTAGCGTACTGGCCCCCCTCCTTTTCAACATATACACAAACGACCAGCCATTACCCCCAGAATGCCAGCGTTTCATCTACGCAGACGACCTCTGCATCACCACCCAACAAGCAGACCTCCAGAAGATTGAGCCTGTCCTTGAAAGTGCCCTCCAAGAAATGTCAAGCTACTACAATAACAACCACCTGAAACCCAACCCATCAAAAACCCAACTATGCAGCTTCCACCTGAGGAACCGAGACGCTAAAAAAAAAAAAAGAACTGAGCGTCACCTGGGATGGCCACAAACTGTCCAACCACACGCATCCCATGTATCTTGGTGTTACACTGGATAGGACACTCTCCTTCAAGAAACACCTGGAGAACACCAAAGCCAAGATCAACACCCGCAACAACATCCTGCGCAAACTAGTGAACTCCAAGTGGGGCGCAGATCCACCAACAATCCGTGCAACTGCCATGGCCCTGTGTTTCTCTACAGCAGAGTATGCCTGTTCAAGCTGGAGCCGATCACGTCACACCAAACTGGTCGACACAGCCTTGAATGACACCTGCCGCATCATCACGGGATGCGTTAAGACAACACCTGTCCCGTGCCTCTATGCACTAGCCGGCATCTCTCCCCCACACATCAGACGACTGGGTATCGCTCAAGATGAACGGAGAACACAGGAGACAGACATCAGACACCCCTTGCATGGCCATGTAGCACCCCCACGCAGGCTCCGATCCAGAGCCAGTTTTGTGCAGACAGTCCTGCCCCTCCAGACAACCAAACAAGCAGCAAGGACCAACATCTGGGAAGATGAATGGCAAAGACATGACACACGAGCTCTTGAATGGCTGGACAGAGGAATCAAACCAACGGAAAGCCTTGCTAGTGGCCACGACCTTGGCTGGACAACCTGGAAGTCACTCAATAGACTGCGTGTGGAACAGGGGAGGTGCAAAGCACTGATGAAAGTGTGGAACTACACCACAGAAGACACGTGCAGCTGTGGATCAGTGCAGACAATGTCCCACTTACTGGAATGTGCCGATGCCCCCCGGTGCAGTCCAGAAGACCTGGCAGAACCTACCTCCATCAGCTGTGGCCTGTGCCCGATACTGGCAGAACGACATTTGAGATTGCTACGGACTCGAAGAAGAAGAACGGGTTATAATTACATTTCTAATAGCTATTCTACATCGGTATCAGTGAGAAAATAGGGTGCGTCCTGGATGTCTCAATTGTGAGTTTACTGCGCCCCAAATGCATTTCCTATCACACCTTTTAGGCTCCAGTCATGTAGCTACCACCGGGCACTGTGGTACTATAGAAAACAATTATCGTCATGTTTTCAGTATTTAAGCATCGACTCAGTACTGACGAATTGGTTCTTGTATCATCCCTAATATTGATTACATTTCATGAACATGCCCATCTGCAGTGCAAACAAGAAAGTCATCACCAAATGCAGATATTTTTTCTTCTGTAGTTAACTGTTTTTAGAATACACCGGAGCAATGAGCTGCATGTAGGAGTGAAAAGTATACACAGATGTACTAGCTGAGCTTATCTGTTATTTCCCCATTCAGTTTTACTACAAGAATAATTCCCTTTTAGCATGTGCTGACCAGTGCTGTCACTGTTTTTCCATAAGACAAATGTTTTGATAGAAGTAATGGATCATCTGTATCGCTGGGAGTTTTATTCATCAGCCTTAACACGACTCTCTCATTTGTACTCGGAGGTTTCATGTTTCCTCCTCTCCTTCTCCAGGAACCTCTCTGCCATTCAGGACCGGGAGATCTGCTGCTACTCCGTCTCCTGCAAAGAGAAAGACAATATAGGTAAGGAGCATACCAGACTTTAAATGATTCTACATCTGTACTTCCCTGCTGCGGTCTTTAAACACCCCTCCTCCCTTTTTTTTCAGATATCACGCTGCAGTGGCTCATCCAACACTCAAAGTCTCGAAGAAGCTGAAGATGAAGGCCCTCCCCCCCCTCGCCCCATTGCAGCTCTGGCCTCAGCCCCTAACGCTCATGGGACCTCGACAGCCATCCTTTCCTCTGCCTCTGTGAAGTTATCCAGCTCTGCTCACTACCAACACCCCCCGCACCACGCAGTACACTACCATAGAGGTGTAGCCCCCTTGTACAGCACTACCCCCACCCGAATATCAGGAGATTTAAGAAGCTGTTTCAGTACTGAGAAGGTGGACTATTCGTACCCGTCATGCCTTATATGGACATGCTGTGTCTGGCTTTTTAAAATAGCTTCTGCAAGAATCTCATGATGTCAGTGTGATATTCCCCAGATGGACTTCCTTTAATCCCACATCTAAACATCCTTTTGTCAACATTTGGTGTTTACATGACACGGTTGTTATTGTCGTTTTTAACAGTTAATTGCCAAATAATTATGCAAGTTTATGCTAATCCCTACCTTTTTAATTCCTAATGAAATCTTCCCACTGTCTGCAGCCTGCATTTTATTTGCTGGTATCCATTTTATTAAGTGACTTAAGTCAATGTTTACACATAACTTAAAGATGAACAGAAGTGTTGTCTTTGTCTGAGGCAAAAAAAATCCTAAAATAGGTCATCAGAGTTTTATAAGTGCCTTCGGCTGAGCGAGTGTTCCCAACAGACAGTAATTGCCCAATGCGACTTCTAACCCACTATTATGAATAAACACTCGGTTCAGACACAGCATAAATCCCTTGATTACACTTAAAGCCACACTGCGATAATCATGTTATGTTTTGTGATCTCATTATGATGTCTTGAGAAAAAGGCAGTACTGTCAAATACGGAATGAGGTAATTGAGAAGATGTTACATTTGCTTTGGTTCATGCGTCATTGAATGTTTTTTATGTAGCTTGAAAAGGTTTTCTTGCTGTTCTCAGGTTGTTGAATGATTTTAGTTTTACTCTTATGGTCTGAACAGTCGGAGTGTGCCCAGTATCCGTTTCATTATCCCCATTTTGTTCGGGTTGGATAACAGGAAGCCAGTGTTACGGAGAACAGAAGATGGTGGACGCTTGATGCCATTTAGCATTTAGCGCCCTCCTCTGAATCCTGATGTCTTTTTATTAGAAGCCTTAGCAGCCAAAGGGCAACGCTGTCTCAAAAAGCGATGTATAACCTGGCAAGTTGTTTCCTTTTTAACGAAAGATAATGATTTTAGAAATACTTATCTGCCCTTGCTTGGCCAGTTAATCTTTTATCAATGTGTGTGTTTCTGGATCCCTTCTGCTATGAGGCTGTATGCAGGCCCAAACGCTCCTGCATTTCACTGTAATTCTTTCTACAAATCCATTACAGACACTATTATATCCCATTGTTCTGTCTGGTGATCGTATAGTTGGGACCACAGCAGCAGTGAGGGGGCTGTACATTTGGGTGGCGGGGTGGAAAAGCTTTGTTACCTGTGTTATTATAATAATATACCCTATTTGCAATTTGCATGTGCAGAACTTAATTCACATTCAATTGCAGAGTTTGTAAATAAGATATAGCATTTTTATTCCAACAGATGCTCCTGTAGATGTCATGCATTCTTTCGCTGTGATGATTGCTAATAAATTTGTTTTTATTTTTAAGGATTTCAAAGTGTGGCATCCAGATTCTCTTTTGTAAAGCGAACAGTTTTAGTTTGTCACCACCACTAGATGGAAGCAGAGCGCTTTGGACGGGACTGTGCAACTTTACCTGAAGTTCTCTTTTGGTGCATCATAAACATGCTTTTTTTTTAGATCTAGTCGATGCAAATTCCAATATTGAAGAGATTGAGAATATAACTGAGTGATGAAAGATAGCTGAGCTCAGTTTCCAGCTGTTATCACACTCTGATTTGAAACCTTACTGTAACTTTGCCCACAATTGCATTTCATAAGGAGGTTTGCATCAGGCAGCCTACCTGCAACTACAAATCCTGTGATCATTTCCAACAGGCAAACTTTACTTTGTGCTACTGGTATGTGGAAGGTTGTTGTTTAAACCGCAGCTATTGTCAGGGTTCCTACGATCCTTTAAAACCTTTCAAAAACGAGATTTCCAGGCTGGTAAAATAAATAGATTTAGGAAAATCCGTTTACATGTTGGATAATAATGGATCCATGATGGATTAGTTTTGGTCTTGACTGAAATGATTGTTACAGTAGTCCTCTATGGATAACATTTAACTTGTGTTGTGTAGCTACTTTACTTACCGCATTGTTTTTCATTTATAATCAGATGTCTTGAGAATATACCTATAGGCAATCACTGATGTCCCCTCATGCTGAAAGCCAGTGCTACACTTATAAGTGCTTGTAAAGTTTGTATTTTTAAAAAGGAATTTTCTGTTCCAATATTCACAAATATATTTTAGTGACAATTACAAATGTAAAAAAGGGTTGGGTTTGAATTTTCTAGGTTTTTTCTTTTCTGGGCTTGATATTATCATGGGTCCTTTTTTAAAAGTCATGGACGACATTTAAAATTTCGTCTATAAAAATGAAAATGTGTGGGAAACCCTGTATTGTTACTTAAAGATCCCATAATGGACGGTTAACACCTCCTCAGTGTTTCTTGGCAGAAAGGATGGCTATTATGCAGAGAAATGTAACACTGTGAAGCAGGACGCTAAAACGAGCGCGGGGAGCGTGTCGCAAACTGGGGGGCAATAAAGAGATCTCACAGCTGGAGCCAGAGGGGGGGGGGGGGGCTGGGCTGTTAAAACAAGAACACCTTAATTAATCTCATTTCTTAAACACAGCTTTTAAAGGAACAGCTGCTGCCATTTATTGTACCAGGGCGGTGGTTGGGACGTGTGGACAGATGGAGGTGTTTTCGATGGATTCCATGGGTCAGTGTGTCAGCATGGGAACTTCATATTCATAGACATGTGTGTGGTTTATATTTGCATCGAGTGCATGGGATTAAGCAGAGGTTTACTAACCTGCCACATGAATTATTGTGAGGGGGTCACGGAAAAGAGCTCATTAGTTAATACATGTTTTGCACAACTTAGCCATTTGCATTTCTGAAGTGTCTAAATAGTCGTATGAATGGCCATTCATCCCAAAATTACTAGTGCTGCTATAAATCAAGTTATGTCATTTTGTCCAGACATGATTCACTCCCTCATAGTGTATGCTCTGTTTAATTGCTGCAGCCCTACATTTAATAAATCCCTCTCTGAACACTTGATGGATGTCTTAGATTAGAAGGATGTTTTGACAAGGCATGGTCATTATGATATATTTAGGAACACATCTCAAAAGGACCTCAGGGAGTCTGCATTATAATCCATGTGGTCTAAATATTGTAGAACTTGTAGCTTACTCTGATTTAATATATTTAACCTCTGCATCATGACACTTTTGCAATATCTAGAGGTAGAAGTAATACCTATATTTAGTAAAAAGATCTAATACTACATTGTAGAAATGCTGTGTTGAAATGAACATCAAAATATACTCATGGTGCAGAATAATATGTTATATTTCCTGATAACTATTGATGCTTAATAGTTTTTCTGTATAATTATCTTATACTTATCTAATAAATGATTCTTTGTAAATTATATTTGATATTATTAATGTGAATCTTAAAGGTAGGGTAGGTAATTTTGGAGAAACCGGCTCGAGATCGCTAGAATTTGAAAATACACAGCCGGAAAAAATCTGCCACTTCCTTACAGAGCCCCTCCTCCAACACACACGAACGCGCACATGACCAATGAGGGCACGAGATAAGTTTGTGCACAGATGGAAGGCTGACAGGCAGGTAGGCCATCCAGTTATTTTAGCCGGGCCGGCTCAGATGATTGGTCGTACTTTTTACAGTACTACGGCTTCCACAGATTACATTTTGTTATGGATTTTTTGTCAAAGCACTTAAGATATTCATTGCTATCGGGATGTTAAGAGCATTCCATGGAATATAACAAAAAGTGTATCTCGAGCCGGTTTCTCAAACTTACCTACCCCACCTTTAAAATAAAGTAATATTATTTAATTACTGCAGTGAAGTAAAATGTGTATCTTACTGTACTGAGGTAAAGGTATAAAATAGCAAACAAATATTATGGAAGTCATATTTTCTTATTTTTATTCAACTTCCTCTCATAAATGGTTCATCATGACTGAGGCCGCTGTCACTGAAATGAACAGTTTCCCTTCTTTCTTTCCAGCTTCCAGTCCTGTACAGTCTCAAAGAACACTTCATGTGGGAAACCTGAACTTTACTTTGGCTCAATCGTAACACTTGAACACATCACACCTAGTTTATGCAGCCTCATAATCATTTCTTTCACGCAGCCTGTGCAAAGTCTGGTCAAGTCAGCAGGATATTGTATAGGTCAATCTGTTCGTCAACGGAAATGTTCTCCTCTCCAGCCGGGCATAGTTTTTGCCATAGGAGGCTAAAGTTTAGAAAGGAGGTCAAGTGCACGGGTGTGTGTTTGTTTTCACACCCAATGGCAAAAAGGGCGTGTGGCAGTGAGAGTGGGGCCTGTTAGAAAAATGTGCATAATCTAAAAAACAATTTATGGCCATGTCTGTCAAAGACTCTTGTGGACGTCATCACCGTTCCTGAACTTTCGACACGCTGTTTTTCATTTGTTTATTTCTTGACTAGAATAGGAGACATCATACCATAGAGCTCCTCTCTCATTGGTGTGGGTTCGCCCTGCCGCCTAATATTAAACCTCACCCTAGACACTTGTGGCATCATTGCACTCAGCAGAGAGTGTTCGAGGTTGTGTGTAATGAATGGATGCACGTGTGGATGCATGCATGTATGTAGTCTGCTGTTATTGCAAATGTAAGCTTGTTTCAGTAAGAAAGTGTTTGTCTTGCCAATCAAATAATCTTTGATAGCTTTGTTGTGTGTGTGCATCCGAGTTATAAGGCAAGGGCACTTAAGGGGCCCTATTATGCCTCTTTAGGGATTTCCTGGTGTTATATAGGTTTTTGTGCATGTAAATGGTCTGCAAAGGCTACAATCCCAAAGTTCCCAGAAGGAGTTACTCTACTCTAGCGCTACAACATTAAGGGGTGGGACATCTCTAAGCAGTTGACCAATCATGACAGAGCCAGCCAGCTAACCAATCAGAGCAGACTGGGCTCTGGTTTCAGACAGAGGGTGAAAAGAGCTGCTGCAGCACAGGCAGTATGAGAAAAATAAAGAGCTTTTTGAACATTAAAGCATGGAGACATGTCACAGTAGAGACACAACATAAAAATATGAAACCTGAAAATTAGCACAATTGTGCCCCTTTAAGTAACTACAGTACTATCGCTATCAAGTATGCCGATTTCCTTCCTCTTCTTTATTATTCCCTGTCATTATAAAACTGTTTTTATATCCTACAGACAGCCTATAATAGTATTTAGTAAACTTACCAGCATTTAGACCTTAAGGTCATAATGTTTATGATATACAGAATTTACAGTTCACCCACAGAGCATCTCACTAAATATCCAACGTGCGAACATGTTGCACTTAAGGTGAAGGTTATTTCAAGTCTGATTTACAGCACCTGTATGAGTTTTAAATGGTGAGATATTACATCTAAGATTCAGCAGGGAATTACAAAAGGGATGCAGCCTGACTTGTTGGAATCTGAAATGAAGCATGGGTGTTTTTACTCCGTTTCAATACATATGTGCAGCATGAAATTAGTCATTCGTATTTAGCCGGTTAGACCTCTTTCTTCATGTGACGGTGATGCCATCAGAGCACCACTCTCTTAAGCTGTGGGGTAATTTGTCCCGCGATCTTCAAGCCTCTGTTTTACAAGACGTAAATAAGTTGTTCCAAAGTTGTTAAACTATAGTTTGGGGATTAGATGTTTGACGCCCTAGCAAAGACAGGCATCTGCAAGCACTTCATGCAGGTCCCCGTGTGGACCATAATTTGGCACTAATCACTATGTGTGGAATGTCACATGATTCATACAGAGCTGCATGGCACATATCACCATCCTTTACTGCTCTACACCCTGTAAAAGACAGATGGGGACATGCACACACACCCTGTAATAGCCATGCCTAATAGGACTCCATAGATGTTTCATCTGGGCTCGTTTGCCTTGGCTATTCAATGGTTTGACCCAATGTCATTTCAATCAAACTGCTTTTCAACAATCTGATTTGATTTTGTTTTGTTTTCCCACAACATTTTGATGATTAGGTTCAATTTGTGGTTTTGACCACTATGGGATGTATTGCCATTGAATTCAATTGCCATATTGGAATTGATGATTTCCCGACTTTTCAGTAAGTGTCAATATCATGTCACAATGTCCAATAGCCTACTTTGGATTAAGGACAAAGTACCATGCTAATTAGAAAACTCCCAAAAAGTTTTGTGAAGCCGCCATTTTATTATCCTCGCATTAGCATTATTAGCATTAGCATTAGCCCAGCGCACAAACGCAGAGAGACTAACTTATGGCAACACAAAAGAAAACATGGGAGCGGTGGAGATGAGGAGGTGTCGGCGTCCTGGCGATTTACTTGGAAGGCTTCAGTTCCGGCCGGAACTCCGGGGACTTCCGGCCGGGGACTTCGAGTGGCAGTATACGCCGTGAAGTTGTTTGCGGCCTGCCAGTAAAC